GTCTCCCCTTCTTATTTTTAAATTTTTGTTACTCTCTTGTAACACCTCTGATCTTCCGGCGCTCATATGCAGTTGCGAGCGCCGTAAAACTTCTACTAAAACTAAAACTAAAACACCTATCGACCTTATCTTTCTTTCTAATCTTTGTATGTTACCCTCTAGTAGCAACATCTCTTAATTTCAGTACTTATTTGATCTATTTGTGTTAAAAGTGCCGTTAAACTCTAACTCTAACTAAAAGTAAACGATTTCTCCAATTCAGCCACAGGTAGAAGAAACAAAGTTTAATATGCTTCGGAACAAATACTGTGAAAAACGTAGATGTCGGTGGTTGGTTGGCGGGTGCTCTGGTGTGGTTTGCTCCTTCTTTCCTATTAAAAAAATGATCGTCCTTCTCTCTCCTCCTCCTTTTTTGTGTTTGTTACTCTCTTGTACATCTCTAATCTGTGACACTTATATAACCTTATTGTGTTACAAGTGACGTAAAACTCTTACTAAAACTAAAATGGTAGATGCCGGCAGTATCGAGCGGGCGACTGGCTGTCCCACGTCTTCCATTTCCTTCCGCTGTTTTTGCCTCACTATTTGAATATCTCCCTGTACCAAAAAGAAACGTTATTGTGTCGATATGCCTCTCTTTGCTTCCGTTGATTGGCACAAATCGATGATTTTATACAGCTGAACATTCCGATCATGTGAATATGTCTGCCTCACGTTCCAACACTTTTCAAGAACCATGGCCTGGCTGTTTCGATCTTTCTTTTTTTTTTCTTTATTGTATATGCACCGAATGACCCACTTCTTCGTGTGTCGACGACGAAAACAGACTTTATTTTTATGGCATCAGAACGCAGCAGAAAACCCGAAGAACGAAAATCGAACGTAAGGAAATAAAAGAAGATAAAAGAAGAAAGAAACCAATTATCGTTCATTAAGGGAGGTGAAATTCCCCACCGTCAGGACAGAAAGCAGACGCCATTACTCCGCTGACTTGTCGAGCTCGGTTTGTGGGGGGGAAATCTTTTTGCAATTATTATTTTTGTGTATCGTCTTGACAACGCGACCACCCTGAGCGGTTTTCCACCCGGGTGATGCTGCCTAACCCCCACTTCACACCCACCGTC